GGTTTTCGAATTTACATTTGTTTGGGGCCTAACCCTCAACAAGGGCATTTTTTAAAAAAAAATGAATTCCGGCTTGTACTGGTCCACAGACCCGATTCATCGTATGCCCGTGCTCTCTGCTGCCATGGCCAGGCAAAAGATAATGAGAGTATAATGTGTTTTATGCATTTCAACAACAATACACTCTGTCATCCTTGAGGTGACCCTGAATTTTGAGACTGGCTCCAAAAAATTCAGTAGCCCCTTGTAAACTCACCGTAACCAAAAAAAGATTTGCAGATGTCTATTACTCCCCAGCAAAAAAATGTACATTGATGAGTCCCTGATTAATTTTTCTGGCCGCTTTGCATTCAAACAATTTCTCCCCAGCCAAATGAGTGCCAGAATTATGGGTCCAAGATGTAGAAGACCTGTGAGAGGGCAACATGCTAAAACTTATAAGTTTCGGATTTATGAGGAAATGAGAGTCACGTGGAGCCCCCTGGATGCCCAGGACTACAAGGGGGAGTAGAGGCAAGATAGTTTGGACTTGGTGTTGGATCTTTTTTCCATATGGGGTAACCACTTATATGTTGGACAATTTTTATTCAAGCGTGCCACTATTTTAGACATTTGTACAATCTTGGAACTGGCACATGTGGCAAAGGTGTGACCTAATGTGTGCCCACCATTAGAAGTGGGTGGATGCAAGGTGGTATATTCTAATGGTGGGCATACCACACACTTTTTTTCTGGCAGAGATTTCTTCTCTTTTTTTTCATTCAGGCCCACAGGCTGCATAACAAAAAAAGGAACATAGCATATATATAAAACAGGTTAATCAGCGATGTAATCCATGGTACATTCACTGGACTTTGAATGTTATATAACCCGAATGATGCCTACAGCTGCAGGCATTCAACCTGTTTTTTTTTTTTTTTCAGCCGCAATCGCTTTCATGTAAAAGCAATCCTAGTGGCTAATTAGCTGCAGGATTGCTTTTACAAGCAGCAGGAATGATGCCCCCCTCCCCAGCTGCCTTCCACGTCCTTCTCGGGCAGCGATCATCCATGCCATCGGGGGAACCTGAGAATGCAGCCGTGTTTCTCTGCCAGCTGACCATAGAGCTGATTGGAGACCAGAGTGGTTGCCAATCATCTCTATAGTCCTAAGAATTTGGAAGCTATGAGCATTTCACCACTTCAGTTTTTGAAGGATATAAACAGCACCATTTATAAATTGGGAAAGTAAAACTGATCACACCGATTTTGGTTTGATTAGATAAAATATAAGGGTAGAGGAGATATCCAGAGTCTGGGATAGACCCCAGATTTCTCAAAAAAGAATATATGAACATTCGCCATTGAAGTTATAGGGGATATTTGTGCATTCCCTGTGATAGCATTAAAAGTGAAAAAAAAAAATGAAAGGTACAGTGAAAAAATAATTAAAAAAATCAAAATAGCTTAAAAAAAAATAATAAAAAAACTCGCCCCTCTCATGCGCGTACACCCTGTGTGCACAAGCGTTTGACCCTGTGACAGTATGTAAACAGCAGTTGCACCATGCATGTAAAAGTATCGCCGTGAACATCAGATCAAGGGCAGTCATTCTAACACTAGACCTCCTCTGTAAATCTAAAATGTGTAGCTTTTAAAGGCTTTTAAAGCGTTGCCTATGGATATTAAAAATGTATGCAGTTTGTCGCCATTGCACGGGGCATGCGCAGTTTTAAAGCATGTCATGTTTGGTATCTATATACTCGGCATACCATTACATTTTATATTTTACCAAATAATTGGCCAATATATTGTGTTTTTTGTGCATTAAAAGTAAAAAGTGAGTATTTTTTAAAAAAAATGTGCTTTTGAAAAAATCGCTGCACGAGTACTATGTGCCATAAAAAATTGTAGTACCCACCCATTGTATTCACACTAGGGTATCTGCTTTAAAAAAAATATATGTTCGGGGGTTAATTTAATTTCCTAGCAAAAAAATACAGATTTTTTTCATGTGATCAAAAATGTCAGAAAAGGCTTGATCTTCAGGTGGTTAGAAGAGTGAATGATGTGTGGCATAAACTTCTAATGCTGGGCATAAAATGCCCCCACCACCCCCCAAACGACCATTTTTTGGAAAGTAGACACCCCAAACTATTTGCTGAGAGGCATGTTGAATCAATAGAAGAATTTATTTTTTTTACCACACGTTTTTGGAAAATGACAAAAAAAAATGTTTTTTTTTTACACAAAATTGTCACTTAAATGATTTACTGCTCACACATGCCATGGGTATATGTGGAATTACTCCCCAAAATACATTCTGCTACTTCTCCCGAGTATCGGGGTACCACATGTGAGAGATGTTTTGGCAGTCTAGCCAAGTATAGGATCCCAAAATCCAATAAGCACCTTCAGGCTTTTAAAGGGCTTTATTTCATCATTACACTTCCAGACTACCTATCACAGTTTTGGAGGCCCTGAAATGCCAGGATAGCACCTAACTCCCCCAAATGACCCCTTTTTGGAAAGTGGACACCCCAAGGAATTTGATAAGAAGCATGGTAAGTGTTTTTTGCAGATCTCATTTGTTACCACAAGGTTTTTGGAAAAATGAAGAAAAAAAACAAAAAACCTTTTTTTTTTATCTTTTTTTTTTTGTATTTCAACCTTGTGAGAAAAAAATGAGATCTGCAAAATACTAACCATGCCTCTTTTTAAATTCCTTGGGGTCTCTTGGGGTCATTTGGGGGGGCTTGGTGATATCCTGGCATGTCAGGGCCTTCGAAACTGTGATAGGTAGTGAAGAAGTGAAATGAGGAAGTTACGCACCTTCAGGCTTTCAAAGTGGTCATTGCATTTCAGGCTCCTGTATGTGGCTAGGCTCCCCCAAAAATGTCTCACAGATGTGGTATCACCATACTCGGTAGAAGTAGCAGAATGTATTTAGGGGGTGTAATTCCATATATACCCATGACTTGTGCGAGAAATAAATCATTTAAATGACAACTTTGTGTAAAAAAAAAAAATGTTTTTGTCATATTCCAGAAACTTGTGGAGAAAAAAATAATCTTCCATGGACTCAATATGCCTGTCAGAAGATAGCTTAGGGTGGCTACTTTCCATACAGGGGTAATTTGAGGGTGTTATTGTACTATCCTGGAGTTTTAGCACCTCAAGAAAATGTGACGGGCAGCCAGAAAGTAAAAGCTGTGTAAATTCCAATATCTATACCATAGTTTGTAGACACTATAACTTTCACACAAAGCAATCAATATGCACTTACTGGGATTTTTTTTACCAAAAACATGTAGCAGAATACATGACAAAATTTTAGTTTTTTTTTGGATATTTTTTATGACTGAAACGAGAAAATATTGTTTTTTTCAAAACATTTTTTTTCTTCAAAACTTTTTCTGTTTATAGCGCCAAAAATAAAAAAGTGCACAGGGTGATCAAATACCACCAAAAGAAATGTCTATTTTTGTGAAAAAAAGGACATAAATTTCATTTATGTACCGTATTGCATGAACGCGCAATTGTCAGTTAAACTAGTGCAGCGCTGTATAGCAAAAAAATGGCGTAAATTGCAGTAGCTATACGACAGTTTGTAGATGCTATAACTTTCACACAAAGCAATCAATATACACTTATTGGGATTTTGTTTACCAAAAACATGTAGCAGAATACATTTTGGCCTAAATTTATAACTAACTTTGAGTTTACTTTATACAGTATTTTTTATAGCTGAAAGTAAAGCTTTATTGCCAAAGCTGAATTGAAAAAGCTGAGGTTAGAAGCTGATCAGTTAACTATGCAGAGCTGCACCATTTCTGAGTGCTCCAGTTTGTAGTAAATCTACCCCAGTGTGTCAACCTGTAATAGGGAGAGGCATAACCTTCCGACGAGTTTCAGCCTGTGAGGAGAGGTTGAGCACTGATGCACTTGCTGTAACATTGTATGATTTTTCTGATTTCGTGTTTTTTACACTCACAGAAGCACTGGGTGGATATTAGTATTTGTCGGACTTTAATATTAGAGTACTTACATTTTATTTTTAAAGAATTTTGACACATTTTTTACAGAATATGTAGTTGTTTTCCTGGGCTTAACCTCACTTTGACTAATGCCATGATGTCTAAATAAGCTTCTATTAGGAGACTGTATTTATACCAATGATAACCCAATGAAGTTTTTGCAATATAACTATGTGATAAACCCTACTATTTTGCCTCTTCCATTTTTATCTTACCACCTGCTAGTCTGAGCCAAAAAATATAGTTATTTTTAGGTCAGTATATATGAATATTAGGATAACTATTGAAAATGTATCATATTGAAACTGTGTGAAAAATGTATTTGTTAAACCTGTCTAATTTAAGGATTGCTATTGACAAACAAAAAAGATAATTCATTTGCCAATGATAGGCAGTGAAGCTGTTCTACTAAAAGTGCAGAGAATGTTCCTTTAGTAAAGTGAATGTTGACTTTATGAATATAAGTTATTTGTGTTCAATTTAAATATGGAAATAATGTGCAAGGGAAATAAAGAAAATGGTATATCTGCACACAATTGATTTGGACTATAAGCAACCCTGATGTGAAAAAAATCATATTAAAAGTGCTGGTTCCTTCTGCTGACCTCCACTGCAACACAGAATAGTCATGTGGACGTCGCAAGAGGATCCAGTGAGAGCAAGAGATTGAGATTGACACTCCCAGAAGTGTTAATTTCTTAACGGACCTCATGGGGCCATTGCTACTGAATGGAGCAACATTTGGCAACACAAACACAGAGAAAGGAGAATATAAGCACTTCTCTTTTACAGATAGCAGCAGTTTGGATATTAACTTTTTGCTTTAGCTGTTAAAGTAATTAAACATGCACTTTCATTCACTCTGCAAAGTGAAATTTGTGTTTTTTAAATAAATCAACCCAGTGTCTAGTTAACTAAGTAATATTTTAGAAAAAAAGAAGCTTTTAGATAATGGAATCTGAACAATATTAACTATTGTACTTACCGAAACCTGTCCATTTATTATAACTTCCTCTGAAAAACGAACTTTCACTGGATTGGACTTCAACCTTGCTTTCTTGGCAGCACTAATAAATGCTGATTTGGGGGACTTAGAAAAAAATGGCATAATTATATTTAGCAATGAATATGTTCAATACAAACACATGACAATGTTTTATTCATTAACATGAAGTTAGCTGATCTATTATTTGTGGTGATGAATTTTTATACAGTCACACTATCCAAAAGGAAAGCAATCAATGTTAGCAAAACTAGCAATAATCAGGACTGCAAGTTTACTACAGCCATGTATGTGTCTAGGTGACCAAATGTTGCCAAAACTAGAAAACCAATAGTAAATACCATATACTGTATATGGGCTGTGGTTAAGCGGTTTATGAAAACAGAGTTTATTGAAACTACACAGTTTTTTCTGGAAAATGCCTGAAGTGCCAGATTCCTTCTTTTCTAAAATAAAATATATTCCTGGCCTATTCTATATCCACTATACTATGTCTGATCATCATCATTTTATTATTTTTTGTCAAAATGGATTCATCTTCTTGTATATGGCTGGCCTTAAGCGTGAATACATGTAATGGTAATAGGACAAAGTTAATACCAAACTCAATATCTTAGTTCAGTTTTCTGCTGAATGATTGGTACAGACACGTTCTCAAGTTCGTATCAGTTTTTTTTTTGCTCTTGTTTTTAGAAATCAGCAGATAGTAACACATTATAATAAAGCTTTTAAAACAGTATAATAGCCTGTAAATTACATTTACACTGTGCACAGTATGCAGGCTGCAAAATACTGATTACTTTGTAATTTTACTTACTGGGTATGGCTGCACGACTGTGAGGAGTATTGATTCCTTGCAACTTCTGTAAAAACAATAAATCAACCAATCAATCAATCAATCAAGTATAACAAGTGTTACTCTGTAGCTCTAGCATATATAACATAGAGAAAAGTCATTGAATTCAGCAAATAAAAGATGTGATTTTTGTGCAGCATGTGTAAGGGTCATTGTAGTTATTTAGTATTAAAGATCTATAAAAAAGTTGAGTTTATAATGTTTGAGAGTAATAAAATGATGATGCCTGTAGATATTGCTAAAGCACAACTCTGAGCAAACTGTTGCATTCACAGTTTAACTTATTTACCTTCCAAAGGCTTTGCAATTCTGTTTAGTCATTCTTGTTATTTAAACATTGACAGTTAGGTCAGTGACAACCAGGGGTGGACTGACCATTTGGAAACTCGGGCACTGCCCGAGGGCCCGGGGTCAGTAGGGTGCCCCATGAGATGCCCCTGGTACCTTTTTCATAGGCTTTTTTGAGTTTGGGCAAAGACACAGGAGCCCCATGATCCCCTATTGCCCGGGGGCCCCATGAGTTGTCAGTCCGCCCCTGGTGACAACCTTATTCGGTATCTTGGTTCAGCTTTGTAGCTTTCTCTGTCTAGTCTGACTATTAGACAGCTAACCAGCATCATCATACTGCAGAGTATTGTCTAATGGGCAGGCAGGTGACAGAAGAATTTGTATGGCTGCAACACAGAAAACTGGAGTGAACTTGTTGAATGGCAGGACTATGTACATGTTTTACATACATTTGAAGCCTAAATGTTAAAAATTTATTTTCACACCATAGACAGTATGATTATCAGATTTCTAAACAGTTCACATTTGGTTAGAAATCTGATTCTATTTAAACTTGCTGCACAGCATACTTGTGGCAATTATACACCTAATATAAAACTGTCATTTATTACATGGAAAAGGACTACCCTCTTCAGGCCAGGTGTGGGACTTCAACATTGTATCAATGGTAGCAAAACTGATAAATGTTTCTTCCCCCCCCCCCCGGGTCACATCAAGTGCGACTTGGCATGCGATTTGCATGGCCTGCGACTTGCAACTCGCATGCCAAATCACACCCCATTGTCCGCTATTAGAGTGGTCACATCGGTGCGTTTCTGACTTGGTCAGAGCCGCACCGATTTCTAAAGTAGTGCATGCACTACTTTTGTTGCAATTTGCATAGACATCTGTGTCAGATGTCTTGCAAATCGCAACTGAAATCGGTAGGTCACCCGATTTTGAAATCATGCAACTTCACTGTAAGTCGCACAATTTCAAAATTGGCTTTGATGTGACCAGGGGCTTATACTTCTGAATTTCAAATGTAGATAGATTGGTAAAGACATGAAGGGTATTGGTCAATGAGCTTCAACAGTCTAAGGCAGAATTTACTGTGGGTGCAGCTGACCTGCTTCATTTGTTTTTATTTGTTTATTTATTTCTTTCAGGTACTTATATAGTGCTGTCAATTTATGCAGCGCTTTACATATATATAGTACATTTACATCAGTCCCTAACCCTCAAGGGGTGTACAATCTAAGGTCCCTAACTCACATTCATACATACACATACTAGGGACAATTTAGACAGGATCCATTCAACCTACCAGCATGTCTTTGGAGTGTGGGAGGAAACCCACACAGGCACAGGGAGAACATGCAAACTCCAGGCAGGTGATGCCGTGGTTGGGATTCGAACCGATGACCCTAGTGCTGCCAGGTGGAAGTGCTAACCATTTAGCCACTGTGTTGCCTTTTAGCTGCTTCTCCATTCCCATAGACTTGTGTGGAGAGAGAAACAGTTTCTAAAGAGGAACTAAAGGCAGAAATACTTATGTTCTCCTCGGATTCTTCCAGGTGCTAGTCTTCAGCTGTCTTGATTGGTCAGTGTGGGATGACATAACTCCTGCGCATGCACGGGAATGTAGTCTTCCCATCACACTGGCAGTATGTTGGAAATTAAACTGAGCTGTGCAAATGCAGCTCTGGGAACATTCTACAGGGTATTTCGAACAGATAAAAATCAGAAGCAGAGTATTATGAACTTCCTGGAGTGGTCACTGTTGGAAGGCCTGTGATTTTTCCAGGTCATGATTCAGAAAGTATTGAAGCCAGATACACTATTCTATGCAGCATTTTAGAACGAGGTCAGCAATATCAGCCTGTATACGGTAATTCTCTCAGTGAAGGTTTTCATAAAAGTCCAGAAGGTATCATGTTGGTTTGCACTGAGTAATGTGCAGCAACACAAAATAAGCTTGCCTCTCCTCATACATCAGATGGAGACTAGGGTGTGAACATGAGTGATGACTTTAGGAGCCACGGCAAGCAAAGAAAGTATATGGACAGTACATCTTGGACTGTAATAAAATGGAGGTTTATAGCATCTACTGCCATTTTCAGAAGGAGAGGTTAGTAATGGAAGTTTCCTTCATACTGAAATACACATGCATTTACAAATAAATGTCCTGTCAAAAAAAGCACCAATATTTATTTTATAATGTAACCCCAATATATGAGCATGCAAAGACAAACTGTATGAATATGTACCCAAAGAACCGCACCACAAAAAAGTGCTCAATAAATCTGAAAATTTTTTATATATATATATATATATATATATATATATATATACTTAATAAATCAAAAATATATAGATTGTGTTTCTTTTTTTATAACACAACTAAAATACCCATACAAATTAATCATTCACGTGGCATAATTATCACAGTGAACAACTATCAAAGTGAAAGCATATTAATATTCATCATCACTGCTGATCCCTTATTAGTGAAAAAAAAATTCAGAAATCACATCTATAGCTCGAACCAACCAAGACCATAGATATGAGGTAGTGCTGTGCTCTTTTTAATATTATTAAATGATGCTCAAACTGGTCACTTCCAAAGACCAGTCAAGAGTGACCTTCAAACTTGTGCAGTTTTTGTGCTGTTAAATATATAAAAAAACTGCTCACCAAAAGCATTATGGTGTATGTCATTGTAGTCATAGATTTTTGGAGAAGAAAATGTAGATATGTGAACTTTGACTATAATGAACAGTTCTTTTGTACTTAACCTAAATCTTACAGATCGTAAGCACTTAATTTACATAGAGGTGAACTCTGGGCAGATAAATGTTCATCTAAATATTTTAGTGTTACTAAACCCAGGGCCCTGCATTCACTATATCTGGTCTCCCACAGCACACAGAACATGGAAGTGCAATTATTTTAGTAAATATAAACTGCTAAATGCCTTTTCTCATCAGCAGTTAGAGCAGTCTGGTGACTTCTATCAGTGTCCACCAGAGCACTGCTTAAAATTTGTAGGAGGACTTTTCTCTAGGAGGATGTAGAACCCCTAACCTCTGTCTGGGCAGTGCAGATTGGCCCTGTGCTGATCACATGCGCTCTCCCAAGAAAAAAAAAAAAAACTCTCTAGCAATACACATGTGCAGTGTCTCCACACATTATGTCTTATCAGGAGATAAGAGATAGACACTGGAAAAAGGGGGGGGGGGATCAGAGAAGTCAGGATCAAACAGCATTTTTACACAATGCAGAGAATGAACCCCTTAGGTTCCACAGTGAGTAAAACAAACATGCTTTTCTGCATATACAGACTTATTTTACTGTTACAGGTTTAGTAACATTTTAATAGTCACAAAGGATATCAGTCCACATTGTGTGCTCCAGATGTGTTGGCCTTTGCAAACACAGTTATTATATTGTAGATGTAGCAGTGACATCATCACTGCGCTTTACACAGCCTGTGCAGAGAGCTGAGCTGTGAGAGGTTCCCTGCAGGCCCCACTCACTATGGCTGCCTGCAGAAAACTACAGGGGCGAATATACAAGACCAGTCTCCCTGCACAAGGAGAGATAGAGGCAGGGAGCTTCTGCAAAGGAAAATTTTCACACTGGATTACGGCACAGATCTGGAAGAAATATACAAAACACACCAATATTCAAGTAAAAATTCATATGTCTCTTGAATTTAGAGAATACTTGCTTATCCCAGAGTTTTTTTGAACTGCATCAAATGCCCAATGGAGCCATATTTGTTGGGTATGCAACAGCATGTACTATATACAGTATTGTGTGTTAATATCACTTGACCAGTAGATGGCACTGTACACTAAGGTTACCAGTTGTGCATATGTGTAAAACTTGTTGGTTCTCTCTCTTCTCTCTCTCTTTATAACCAAGATGTCTGCTGTTACAGATTACTGAAATGTTTTGTATGTTTGCAACTTAAGCCACACAAGTAAACCAAGTTCTGCCTCATCACAAGCTACTAGTGTCTTCTCTAACACATAACCAACAATAGTCATATAGGAAAGATTTATAAAACATGTAAAAAATATTGATCAAATCTAACTCATAGCAGTCAGTCAAATTCCTTGTTTAATTGGAACAATTATGCCTGGTCTATTGATCTTAGCAAAACTTTCATATTTGATGCTCCTTTCATTAACCGCCATATAAGGAAATGATGGGCACATTTCCCACTCCCACTCTAACCACGTGTGCATGGCTCCGGGAGCACGCAACATGGCAATCAGTGGTGCGCTGTGTCCCTTGGACTTAGCAGATCACCGATCAACGGAAAGAGACGAACATGTCAGCTTGGTCATGTGATCAGCTGTGTCCAATCACAGCTGATCACATGTAAATAGGGAAATGCCGGCATTTCTCTCCACACGATCTGTCACGCTGACAGCTCGAGAGGAAAGGAGAGCTGGTAATCGGCATTCCTCGGAGGGGGGGACATGCACACTGATCATCAGGGCACTGATGATCAGTGTAGCCCCAGCAGTGCTACCTGTCAGTGTCCATCAATGCCAGCTGTCAGTGCTCATCAATGCCACCTGCCAGTGCCCATCAGTGCCTCATCAATGCCACATATCAGTGCCTACCAGTGCACATCAATGCCACATATCATTGCCCATCTGAGCTGCCTTTCAGTGTCACCTATCAGTGCCAGTCAATGCCAACTATCAATGCCAGTCAGTGCCACCAATCAGTGCTGCCTA